GCAACAATGTATGTTATTATTATATTCTTATCTAGTTTCCCCGTTTAAACTAGTATATATATAAACTTGCAGTAGTAATAGCTAGGCAGTATATAGTTGCGTCGAAAACAGTCGGAATATTGGATTATGTATAGCCCGACCCACCCCACACGTGCGAAAATAATATACTCGGCACCCTCGACGGGCGCGAGTCAAACGATCCTTTTTTTCGATAACAACTTATTTTTTGGCCGTTTTTTTAATGGTTATTTTTTTGCACGCGCGTTTCCCTCAATTCGTAATATATTATTATTATCATAACTATTATTGTATGTATGTGCTTTTGAACACAATCATCTCGTGTTACAGTCGACGGTCCGTAACCCTATCGATATGTGTTGCCCGCGCGAGAGTCATTGTCGTGCAGCAGTCGTCCGCGTGTGCATTTCGTGTTGGTTTTACTCCAATGATAATAACATATATACGCAATAATAAAAAAAAAAAATTACGAAAAAAGGGTGTACGCGAGTCCGGACAATGTGCCCTCCTATTGTTGTACGCGTATACGTATACATATACTTACAATGCCCGAGGCAGTATATCGATACGGCGGCGGCGGCGGCACGTGATAGTGCAGAAATAATAACAAACGTTTATATTTCTATTATATATATATTGTGTTACAATATAATATATCCATCGCGTGAAAACCCGTTCGGATTCGGTTGTTCAGATAACGTTTCCCCGGGGTGTATTTTTTGGTACGATTTTATGATTTTGATTTTTTCTTTCACTCCCGCGGGGTCGACGACGAAGTGTAACGAACTCGTCGGGGTTTATTTTTTTGTATTTATTTATTTTTTTTTTGTTTAATACTAGGTTTTTAAACGTATGTATCTCGCACGGAAAACGGATGTCTTGCATATCTTAATCGCCGTCTGTTTGTTCCTCAACTCGTTTCCTGAAAAGTGTCGTCGTCGTCGTTGGTGTCATCGTCTCGTTATAATAATATCGTGCAGTGCACACAAAGCGCGTGGAGTGAGGTGTTGATAGCTTTGTTCCGCACCGTAAACACGCGGCGGACAACACTATTGAAGTTTTTTGTTTTCATTATTTTTTTCTGATAAAACTTCACCGCGCGCCGCCGCTGTGTGTACACAGTTGCAGCTGTCGACATCGTCTGGTTCGACTTACCAAAAGTCGATTACCTTATTAGCCTCCATTACTGCAGCGTGCGGTATTAGCTGCATACCTATAATATACCTATTATAGATATAACTTATAACTAACCTATAGGTAGTGTGTTACTTGAATGGGTTGTAGGTCAGGATAGGTATATTATATAGCGTTTAACAACCAAAATAATATATGATATATATCAATGCATAGGTTGGGAGTCATAAAATACAATAATACTTATATATATATGGTTACACGACGGTTTAATATTAAATACGTTCGTTTCAATTGAGTCGACCGGCACCGCGGAGACTATATTATATTATTATATTATACCTATTCAATTGATATTCCTGTTGTATAAACAAATGTTGTAATGTCGTGCGAGAGTACAATTTACATATTATAGTAGTGCGGTATAAACCGCGGTGCACGCGGAGAATGAAAAATATTCGACAACAAAGAGTATTGCGAATGGAATAAAAGGCGTTTTGCATTGTGCGCGTGTCCCTTGCCGAGATGATGTTATTATGTCGGAGTGAGTAAAAAAAAAATAATAATATATATAATAAAAATCGAGACCCCCGGCCATGTATCAATATTTCTGGTAAACGGGGAAAAGAAGAAAAACTCGGAGAGCCCATTGTTGAGCAGCCAATTTGAATTATTTACTTCCTCCGTTGAACCAACAAATGAATGTGGAATATGCCCGTCCTATTATGCATGTATAGGTACACCCAAAGTCATAAATCTGACGGTTTTTTTTCCCTCGTTTCCGACCAGTATTTATTTATTTTTTTACGAATTATTCGTGTTTCTCCTGCCGCAGCTCATCCCTTCTCGCTCACTCTCTCACGTACTATATATAATATTTTTTTTACGCGGGACGTTTAGGTACGTTTATTCCGCACATTAATATGCGAAAACCGCAGTTCTTCTCCCCGTCGGATATGAAAAAAGTACAACAAATCTGCTCCGAACAAAAAAAAGAATAAAAAAAGGGCGGTGGTATAAAAGCGCAAGCTATTACTGCGAACCCGACATCATAACACTTTGACATAATTTATTTGACTGTTAAACATTTGTAAGGGAAATGTCGATTTTTAAATCAGACTTTTTATTATGCAAATTACACAAAAATTATTAAATCGCCGAAAACATCATGTAAATTATTTAGAAGACTCTTAATCTACTTTAATGTTTATTATTATTTATTTTTTTTTGTTGGAAAAAAGAGAAAACGAATTACACCCTTAGCCCTTAGGTCGATCAAAGTTAATTATCAAGAATTATTCTTGCGAAATATCAAAACGTTGAAAATCGTTTTAAATATTAATAACTATCGTGAAATATTTATATTAGCGCATATGAAAGCAAATCGTTATAATAAAAAAATAAATAAAAAAACAGCCACGTATATAATAGGAACAACAAAAATAAAATAATAAAATAATAAATATATATATGTATGCAGACGGCAGAGGAACAACAATGACGTCGAACGAAAATACTTTAGACGTATATACGTCGGTATAATATATTATTTACCTCTTCGTCGATATAATAAAATATTAATATTGTGTCCTATGCTTATAACGTATAACATGATGTTATATATCATAATATAATATTATATCCGTCGGTTCTATTGTCGAATGTATATTTATATATGTATACAAACCCGCGTTATTGTCGAAGACGTGATTTTTTTATATTTCTACTCGTTTTAGCCGCCGCCGCAATGTATAGGTACGCGTACAATAAAATATCATTTTATATAATTTCGATAAGATACATATTAATATTATTATAATACAATACGTCATATACCTATACGAATATAAACCTCACGAGTTGGACGCGTCACAATAATATAAAATAATAAACAGTTCGGTAGCGGTTGCAGCAGAGGCGGGATATAAAGATTTTCATCTGGCCTCGTCGCTTTTCCGTTCGTATATACAATAATATATAGTTGTAGGTAATATATCGGCAGCGTTAATATAATAATATAGCGACAGAAGAAGTATATAAAATACTGACAGAAAACTCCCTCCTATAAAATATAGTACATAAACGGGAGTGTGTATATTGCACCCGATAGGACTAACTAATCCCATCCCCCTCCCCGAGAACCGTTCCCCTCACCAACCGCCGCGCTAGAGTCAATTAAAAGAGAAAACACCGAAATCGAGGAGGTGCGGATTTAACGGACTGTGTCCGCGGACCTATAGCCGTGGTGGAAACCAATAAAAACGGGGTCGTAAATAAAACGACACAACTATATATTATATAATAATACGCGTCTGCGGCTTGTCCGGTTTCTTTCGGCCGCGATTCCCTGTTCACACATATATATATAATATTATATAGCTATACGACTTTTAAGCTCATTCTCTGCTCGCGCTGGTCTTATCAATGCTTTACCAGCTAGCCGCGTTATCAACGGGTATACCGGAGCGGGGTCGGGGATGGTTTCAGTCGTAAAAACCTAAAAAAATAAAACCTCTGAAGGAATGAAACAACCAATATATTATTTCACCGTCGACAGTTACACATGATATAGGGAAATACAATTATATACCGGGTGATACATTTAACGTAAGTCACTGATTATTACAAAAATTATCAACGTTTTTAAAAATAATTTTTTACACAATTTTAAAGCATTCATTTTTCTAAAAAATGCTATCCTTACTATTTTTTACATTTTTGTGGATTATTTCGCTGCATATTAATAATTGCATTTTGGACTAGTAGCGTTAGAGTTTTAATTATTTTAAGTTATATATTCGAAATATAAAAAGAGTTATAAATGTCTTATTATGTTTAATCCTTACATAATATATTAGGTATACCATAACAAAAAATAACGACGTTTCGGTGATCTAAGAGTTGGTGGTTTACAGTCTCTTGCACGTCTCTCAGCCTGTAATCCGTATACATAATAATGTACACACATGATACGTGCATTACCCAAATATTGTAGTAATAATAATATACACGTACGGCAGGGGCGGCCGTCAGCAAATCGTGTCTTCCCATGCTGATTTTTTTTTTCGCACCCGAAACGATACGGGGCCGCGGCGGGGAGGTTTTCGTTATCTGACCGAACTTTCGATGCAAATACCATATTATTATTATTATTATATACGTACGACGGTATCATATGTATATATACGTACACGCGCACGCCGAGATTAAATCCCCGAGAACACGGCACGTTCCGTCTCCCCCTTTCGCGTTTTGTTTTTTTCGTTCCCGGAAATCGTTTTTTAAAAACCATTATAATCCCGTGCAATAACTTGGACCGCACGTATGGGTTTTCGGGGTTTTTTTATTTTTCCGCCAACGACGAACACACAAACACACTGCAGCGAGTGCTCGCGGAATTATATGAAATGAACATAAAAAAAAAAAATACACACGAAATCTAATAAGAACACGAGGTATTTTTTCGTCGTACATACGTGTATACATGCAATGAGTATGTGTGGGTGTGTGGGTGTGTGGGTGTGGGTGTGTGTAAATACAAACAGCGCTGTAACCGTGTATTCTGCTGCCGTGTTTAAACAAAAATGCAATTTCCACGCAGCACGCGCTCGGCACTATATTAGTCCAAAGAAGAATTGCTCGTCATATTATTATTATTATTATTATTTCGATCACACGATCGTGCGTATACATTAGAATACACACACACACAGATTACAATAATGTTATATTATATTGGTTATACTATTGGTTTTTTTGTTGATTGCTTTTCGTTTTACTTTTGTCGCTCCGACGTTATTACAAAAAAATCGTTATTTATTTGTTTGTTTTTTTTCACTTGTTCACAGTTCTCGGCCCGGAAGACCGCCCAAGAGAGCGTCGTCCGTGGGCCTGTCGCTGGCCGCGTCGGCCTCGCACTTGAGTCATCAGCTTAAGAAACACCGTCTGGAAAACGGAGACTACGTCGCCGGAGTTTACGAAAACGGACATTTGCAAGGTAATATTATATTGTATTACAGTAATAATCAAACAGTCCGGTTGTACTCGTGGTTAAAAAAAAACACGTTTGCAGCGGTATCCCGAGCTTGTTGTTTGCAGGCGCCGGGTCGGAGGTCGCAAAACCCGCGGTTTTTTAAAAGCGATCTACAACTGTTTTTTTTTTTTTAATTGTATGTTAATTAAGTTTAAGTTCAATGTGATTTTTTCCGTTCGTATCGCGGTCGTAGTCGGACGCCTTGTGATGACGAACGACGTATATAATATTATACGCGATTCGTTTTCCACATAATATACTAATTTAATAACAGTGTTCAATTGGTAATTTTAAAGTATATACATAATATGCACCGCAGACGTACCGCAGTAGAAAATCATTTAATCAGCGTTCGTATTATACGAGTGCTTAATAATATAATATCATAATAGTCGGTGTACAATATATATATATATATGTATATAAATATGTGCGTGTGAGTAGTGACTATAGAGGATATACCTGCGTTGCAGGCTGATGGTGTTGTGTATATTAAATTAATGGGCACGCGGCGAATACGTTTTTATTTATTATGACTAATTAGCGAAGACTCGTAATATACGCACGCGCTGTAATTGCCGTTATAGTTTTTGTTTTCTTCTTCTTTTCTTCTTCGGACAATAATTATTATTCATTCCATCCCGGTCGTCGTATACAGTCGTCGTTCGGTGGACTGCAACCTACTTTATACTTGGTCAAGTCTAACGACTAACGAACGATTTAATAACCTAATAAAAATTATACTATGTGATGCTGCAATGCTCTTAAATCGTAGGTATGATTCGCAACCAGAATACTTTAAGATATTACCCAACGGCAAGAATATGATATTCGTGTACGCCTTTGCTGGTCTCCAGATAATAAAAATTTGAATTTTTCGGCCCTTGATGAATCTCAATCAGCAATTGAGTGCTGCGATACTTTCAAGATTATTCCTATTGACGATAACTTTTAAGTTTTTTTTATTTCTTTTGAAGTGCTTTGTAAATTGTACTGAAATAGGTGCAGTTCGACCTTAACCGTATAGGATTGTTTTCAAAATACCACACACTTGTTCGATTTCGTTTATTTGCCAAAAAAAAAATAAAAAAATTAACAATAGTAGCCGAATTCACTGAACCAGTTATCTATATGTGGTCCCTGCATTCGAATAATAATAATAATAATAATATTAATATTGTTTACTGTCTAGAAGTGGGCATTATCGTCTGTTTCTCAGCAGCATACGCTATAAAATATTATATCATATATATTATGTATATAGGTATAATAATAAAGTGTTGTTCTCATCCGTTTCCCTCGTCTTTATAATACAAAATATTATATTATATTGTGTAGATATCGTTACAATATTTTTATTCGGCCGCAGCTGTTCGACGATCAATCATCCGACAAAAGGAGAACACTCCCGTGCATGCCCATTATGCTCGTATTTAGTTTGTAACATTGCGTTGTTGGCCCGTGTATTATTTCGTTTTTTTTCTCTTCGATACTTATTTTTCCCCCGAGAACCGGTATTTTGTTTTTTTTTCTTCCCTTTTTCGTTTTATGCATATTATAATATTATTATTATTTATTATAATCACACTGATTAAAAGCCAGTGCGCGCACGCGTCCGTCCGCATTTTCGCACCCTTGATCTCTTCTTCAATCGTCTTGCGAGAGGAGCGTCAAATTTAATTTAAAACGAGTGAATGAAAAAAAAAAAAAAGAATAAAAAAATAACATGACATTTTTCTCGGTGTTATGTAATTAAGAGTTTTTTTCCTTTCGTTAAGGACGCCGTACGGTTCGTTAAGCACGTTTGCCGCCGACGTTGTCACCGCGCTACCGTTGCAGTGTTCCGCGGCCGCCACCGGTGCAGTGCGCCCGAAGACATCGGACACTGTCTTTTGAGCTTCGGATTTCCGCGAAAAGTTGTAGAAAAGAGCGTTAAAGTAAAAATTAAAATTACCACCCCTTTGAAAAATATCTGCCGCTCGCCGTCGCGTAATATATTTTACAAGTACCACTACCCACTCCCTGCAGTATATACAACGGATTCCCGTCCACACCTCGCCGCCGCCGACTGCGATGACGACCATATCATATAGTAATAACACGACGAACAACAACAATAATTAACAGTGTTATAACAATATACATTACAACATAAATTATGACAACAATAATAAGTGTATAGGTACGGCGCACATATATATATAGGAGTCACGCGTAAAATGAAAACAGAAAACAAAAGTGGGACCTTTTTCTCACACACACAGGATAGACGCACTTAAAATGTATCAACAGTGCGTTTCCTGTCACCCGAATAATATAATATAATATTCAGTCGCGTTGTTTTTTTCATTCCTCGCGGTTATTTTTTTTTATTAATATTATTGTTTAATTCCATTATATTACGGTTCAATTGACAAAGCACTGCGAGTGTAGCGGTGCAGTGGCATATATATACAATAACATATTATTATTATTATGTGTGTGTAGTACACATGCACACGCATTTACAACAGTAGCTAGCAGAGTGTCCCTCCACCCCACCCTCTAACCTTAAGTATACGCGCGCCAGTAGTCCCGTTCGGACAATGCGAACGTTTGTTGTTCTTCTCGCTCGTTATCGTTAATTGGACACACTCATATAATACATATATATTCTACATATTATAATATAGTATTTCTCTCTCCCTGTCTCGCTCAATCTCTCTCTCTCTCTCTCAGTGTACATGTAGGTATTTACGTATATTTGCGTTATAACCCCCGAATGTGTCATTCCCCTCATTTCCCCTTATTATTATTACGATGGTTGTTGTATGTTTTATTATTATTTTCATTTTAAACAAACCGTATCGATTGTACCGCATTATATAATAATATAATATCCCCTACGTGCGGCCATCGGCACCCACTCCTGCGGTGCAGAAGGTATACACCATAGAGGTACGTCCGTCGAGCTCTTCAAGACCTACGCTCGCTCGAGCACGCTTGTGTAAACAACCACTGCGGCTGTTGGTCGTATACGTATATATACGACCTGCTACAAGCTGGTGGTCACCTATATATTATTATGATATTGTATTATGCAATATATTTTTAATTCGAATGTTATTAACGCGATTGTGTGTGTGTGTGTGCAATTAAACCCGTTCGGTTCCCACCGCGACGTGTGCGTTTATTATTTTATATATGCGTATATGGAAAAAAAAATATACATAAGAAATTATATGGTATACCGACCGCGTGTGTGTGTTTTTCTTTAAAAAGCCTTTTCAGGTAGACGAGCGCACACACCGCACGTTTTGTGTTTTGTTTCGAACGTCGTACTTTATTTACATTGGCGACGGGAAAAAAGGGTTAAATCGACGAGTGTTTTCACCTGCGGGACGGCGATCGCGGGGGCGACGACTCGCCCGGCTTTTGTTGCCGACTTTATTAATTTTTTTCGCTTTTAATTGGTCCGGAAGGGTCCGCCGCCGCGACGACTCATTTTTTATTATTTATATTTTATTTTCCTAATAAACCGTAATAGCCGGTCGTCATCGACGACGAACGCCGAGACGTCACCCGGTGGTGAATCGACACAATCGTTTTATTCGTTTATGAAAACACGGCCGTCGCCGCGCTTGGTTGGCGTTTTTTTGTTTTCTCTCCTTTTCACACGGCATTCGAGCGCGGGCGCCCGAGCTCTCCCACCCGCCCGCGGTTCAAAGTTCGAAACGTATTTATACGAAATGTCTTATTCGCCTCGGAAATTAATGAATACGCGAGCAAAAAATATAATAAAATATTACAAGTTAATAATATACACACAAACGACATATGGGCGTCGTCGAAATATTAAAAAAAAAAAAAATAATAATAAATAGAATTAAAAACCGTAATTATCGAATTTACCGTTTTTAGTCGGATTCTATGTTTTTTCACAATATCGGCTACACAGTGCTATACTCGCGTATATAATATTATAGTCGGCACTCGGCCGTACACATTGCGGATTTTCGCAATCCAGACACGCGGCCTGTACTACAGACGTGCGTGTTGGCCGCCGCTGCCGAGTGTATTTATATTTTGTTTGTTCGATAAACTGTAAACACACACATTACTATATACACATAATATTATTATTTAAAATACGATATAATTATCTTATACCTACATGCGTACCATGCGGTATACTCAAACTCGAACGGCTCGGAGGAGAGGGCACAAACTTCACTGTATAATAATTGAACCAGAGATTCTTTTCACTGCACCCGCGTGTGCGTGTGAATGCGCTCGGCTTACCTATGTATAAGTGTACCTACCTATATATAATATTGTATAAGTATAATAATATGATATGCAATATCTGGCAACGGTGGCGGGCCCAGAGTTTGTATTATTATTATTCGCGTGTTTCGCACAATGGTCACGCAACAGTCGAAAACGTTGTGTCGCCGGCCACCGTAAATACATGTTATGATGTGTAGTATATATATATATATATGAGTTAGGTATTGAAATTACACACACATACGCGGGCTTTGCGGCCGATTGTTATTAACGGTATGGACATGAAATATGTCTTTCGCCAAAATCTCAAACCACCCCCTTTTTTGCCGGCAGCGCACGCTCTGCCGAGGGGTTGCCAACTTTGGCCGCGTGCACCGTCGTCGTGGGCTTGTCACCGGATCATATTTCGGTACAAATGTTTTTCGTGTCAACGTGATATTATATAAAATATATATTATATTATTAAATTAGCGTCTATATATGTATATTGAATATACTTTAGATGTCTATATTATGTTCCGCCGACGAGCAAGACGAGTGGATTCCTTGGGAATCGGAAAAAATCAAAAAAAAAATACGTTACAACTATAATAGGTATTATAGGTATGCGAGGTAGATTTGGGAATTCGATTTTACGTAATTTGCGTACATTATATATTCAATATGGTCGGCGATCGAGATATTATTAAATATAT